CTGGTAAACGAAGGTCAAAATTATAATCGGATTTTTGAATGTCCGTAATCCAACGTATTAGAAGGTTACTATTTAAACGAATAATAAGGTGCAGCTAATGCAACCTTAGAGTGGAATTTATGTTTGACTTTGTTATACATATTCAGATTCAGCTTAACGGGCTGATTACGAATAACACCTTCCGAGCCTCCAAAAGTCATGACGTCACGAACACGATGCCTGTATTAAGACCGGCTATCAGCTGAGCTGTTCGTTCATTGGCATGAGTACATCTTCGGTATTGATCGAGCCAAAGATCATTTGTATCCTATAACTCATTAATCTATGTCTGTTTGAACATTTTTTCTCTTCGAGTATGCAATACTTACCAAAACTGCATACTTTCTGATTGTGTGAATGTAAATAACAAACGGACATTAATATTTACAGTTGAAAATTTTATTTAGTTCAAATTAAAGATAAGTATAGTTGTTCACACTTCATAAAAACAATTTTTTCGAAATGTTTAACCCTTGATATTATACGACCATAACGTCTTTTTCGTTTTATTTGTAGGAAAAATGAGTTGTTATGGTTTTTACAAAAGTGATTTAGAATGTTATCTGCTGAAAGAGAGAGAGGAAGTGTGTGTCACATATTTTTTTATTCGGTGATCTAATAAAGAAGAGGGCAAGGCACTTCTGATATTTAGACAAAGAGAACAATAAATTCTGAGTACATACCTTCTAGTACATCTACGTTTCATCGTACCCAGGATTCATATTTAGATCTATTTGTTTTTAAAGTAAACAAATAGTATCTAGTTCATCTATCACCCGATAGTGCGTTTGGACACTGCTCATTAGCCACAGATTTAGTTGAATGGATGAAAAACAAACGCATAATTTAGAACCTCAGTTGAACAATGATGGAGATAACTGATCATCTGAAAAATATTTTTATTCGTTTTTATTCGACTTTTTTAAACAGAGTTAAGACACGACTAAACGTTCTGTTAGTATAGATAAATCATATGATTGATGACAAACCACCTCACTGCTGTAATTGAGCAGAAGAAAAATATTACTTAAATTCAGTCAGTTATCCCATTCATAGCTTTCGCAATATTTTAAAATTTTAAACATTGGACATGCTCTAATACTAGTTGATAGTTATGTCAGCTCCAGTAATTTCGCATGCCGTCCTGGTGAACGGATTTTTGAAAGCGTTGGAAACCAGTAATATCGAGGCGTTAGACAAGTTGGATGATTCAGTTTTTAAATCTATAGCACAAGAACTCCACTTACAGTAGACAATTCAACGTCAGTGGCTGAAATCAGTATGGAAAAGTAACAAAAATAATATCCGAACGGAAGTGATTAAAGCTTATAATATCCAAACTAGACAGTCTTCGAAGTATGCAAATTTTTCTCTTAACAGGGCAGAGTACTTTTCTTATATTTGTTTTGCTTTTTTAGTGACACTACACAGCTTCGTCCATGTGTGACTGCTAATTCTGGTACAGAACGTCCTCAGTGTTGTGTTTGTGATTTACAGCGAGGTTTCACTCGAAATGATTGGAAGACTGTTTTGAGTAAGGAGAATGATAACCGATTACAAACAGGCTATTACAAGTCACATGGTCGACTATTACCATTTTCTCTGATCAACAAACCTATTCATATATCATCCTATAACAAGCTGTATTCTGCATCAGCAACCAAGAGTAAAGGCGCGAATAAGAGCACTGACAATACGAAATCTAAAAGTGATCGATCAGGTGTACAGCCGTCATCAATTTTTACACAATCAACGTCTGGTATGAACTCAGTTTGCTAGCATAGTAATCAGTTTAGCTCTCTAGCGATTACGGTTTTCGTGGAATAGTCTGCGTGTTTATCTAAATCTTCTGATCTGTTGTATAAAAAAAGCACTGATTTGAACCGTGTTCAGTATCATCTTGTTGTTCTTAGTAGACGATGTTTTTTTATTTTGCAGGATATCAACCTCTCAGCTATATACACCTGTACTTGCCATATCGTCATTTGTTGAAAATGTTAATATCGATCATGATTATTGTTCAGATTCGCATCGTATCAATCAGCAAAAACGTAAGAAGACGAAGACGAACAGCAACAGTTAAGCTGTTATGTTGGTCAAGTATCAAACTTCGACAGTGGTAGTACTTCTGTGGCCTTCTCAGTATTTTGACTATAACTTTTATTCTTTTCAGCCCTGAGACCCGGTTGTTTTTTGAAAAGATGCGCCATCAAATTCTCTACAAAACTTGATTACACTTATTTCTATATTTCTATATTTTTCACCAGCTGAATTTAAGTGGAAAACTATAAGATAAGCTTTCGGATAAACTTGCATCGCTGAATCTGGTACATTTCTCATCGGAATAAAGAAACCCGAGCTCAAAAGACGGAATTTTTTTGGCTTCGTTATGCGACGTTTTCCATGAGCTCCGAAAACTACGGATTCAAATAGCTGAATTGTCGAATAGGAGGAAATCGATGCAAGTTTCAAAGATTGATTTAGTATTTGTTCACTTAGTACTGGTTGATAGACAGAGCCTTTCAAGGGCTATAAAATGCGTATATTCTCTTCTTCTTATCTCACCCAGCTCAATGCAGTCGTTGGACAAAATGAGTTTTCAGCTTAGAAAGTTGGTCCGTTTCTATGTGTTGGGTATTCTTCGTTTAATTTTCTCCATAACTTTCTATAGAAATGAATCTAATCAAGTTTTGTAGAGAATTTGATGTCACATCTTTTGAAAAAACTATCGGGTCTCAGGACTGAAAAGAAAAAAGGTTATAGTCAAAATACTGAGTGGGCCATTATTTATGGGTCACCCGTTATATCCTTAATTTGACATCGTATGTATCCCTAATACCGCTCTGTGCTACTTTTGGTTGAAGATAGAAATTCGAAAACAAATCCATCTGCAACCAATGTTTCTACGTATGATCTACCCACACTAAATGCAAGCTCGTCCACTTCATTAGTAATATACGAATTACCATTCGAAGAATTATGCGATTGGTTGATTGGAATTTTGAACAAGGGTAGGATTGTGTCAATGACAGCTGTTCAAGAGAAGTATACAAGCATTTTAAATTCTCGAAACAAAACAGTTACTCAATCTACCGTACGCCCTTTGTATATTCGTAAACGTTTGAACTGGTCAATTATTGTGTCGTTTTCGGTTCGGAGGATATACTCAAAAGTTGATTTTACTGTATATTCTTTTTCCATTTAGACCAGACACATTGATAAAACAGTTGTATTGACTTCAAGAAATTTCTATTAGGTAGTATGCTTATGGTCTTGGCATTTTGCTAAACCGAGCAAAGATGCTTTGTGGTTCCTGGTTTTTCTTTTAGGAAAGAAAGAAGTGGAAAACATTCAGTTGATTATACATGAAATCTGGATTTGGTGGATTATTCGACTACGCCAACTTCCAAATTACGAATTCATTCAGAACATGAAGGATTATCAAAACTGGGATCAAACGATTTAGAGTCTATAAAGGTGAGAAACTGTGTGCACGTCATATATAAATATTCTCTCTACAGAATCGATTTCGTCATTTACTTTATTTTGACACACCGTCAGACAAAGATGGAACCTACGTTTCATAGAATAGTCTATCGACGTATATTAAATTAGCCGTGTCTAAATCAAAGCAAGTATCGTGCACTGTATTGAAGGATAATAATTCTAATGAAGCTATTGGTCAACAAAAACATTCCGAGTGCTTGTTCGATGCAATACGTATCATGCGCAATTCTATCACCATCGGTCATTAGACATTGAAAACATTCAAGAGGTAATTGTTTTAAAAGAAAAGCTGATCGTACTATCGAGAGATTTTTTAGGTTTAAATGCTAACCACTGTTTGTAAACTTCTTCGTATTTTATTTTGTCTAACGGAATATTCGCCGTTTCGCCTACCTTTTTATAATATTTTAAACAATCTCGATGAAATTTGTTTTTACAATCATGCGTTAGCGCAGAGAAATGTTTTTCGTAGTAGTTAGCGATTTTCTGATTGTCTCTCAAAATTTCATTGTTTTCAATTTTCACACTTCGAAAAGATGAATAAGGAGAAAAAGTGTTTTTAACGTGCACCCAAATATTATTTCCTTCTTTCATATGTTTCATCTTATTTTCACTTTTTGTTTGTAGAAAACTCATCTTCTCTAGAAAGAACACACCTCTCCAACACGAAAAATTTTGATAACCGCTTAAAAAACATGTACGTCGAAATTTTCTTTAGCATTTGTTGACAGTTTGCGCCAACATCACTAGATGTGGCGGCTATGGAGATCTAAATGCTTTTACTTCTTCAAAAATGCTGCGTCTGTCAAAGAGTGCAGCTAAAAACGTAGAAAACAAATCAAAGAAGGAGTTATTATATACTAACGCATTCAAATATTCGTAAACGGCCTTCAGAAAAAAATGAAAGACATTCCACTGTATTATTCGAAAGAATCCATTTTCTCCTTTGGGAAAATAAGCGTTAAAATCAAAACTGGAAAATGATCTGAATTTCCTTCGTCTAAAAAGTCTGAATTCCAACCTGAAAAGTCTTCTCCAATTCCAAAAACAATAACAGAGTTTGGTTTTGCAGAATAACGGCATTTGCTTTCCCACACCTACCAATATGCATATGTTTGGCGTATGAGAAGAAGGAAGCTCATCAAGATCAGACAAATGAGTACTAAGACCCTCACAATTCCACAAGAGAATTACTAAATTTTCTGAAGAGGCTTGAGGTCTCTTCTTACACCATCTCTTACTCAACACACTCACAGACAGTCTGTCGTTCCACTCACACACCATCGAAAAAAGAGTCTCTTTCTCACCACTAGTTCCAATAAATTGATTTAATACCTCTGTTGTTGTTGTTGTTGTTGTTTATGTACACATTTAAAAACCGGTTTCCAGCGCTAACCGGTGAAAAATACAGGTGATGACATTATATGACGAAAAAACTATACGTTTCACTAAAATCAAAGTGTCACGTTAAAAAGCAAATGCACACGATTTTGTACAGGTGTAAGAGGAAAAACTCTGTTCACACGACTTTTAAATGCTTCAGGTATGTGTACATGATTAGAAACCATATTTTTTTCCAGCAGCTGTTCAATTAATTCTCTTCTATACTGTAACCATGCGAAGTACTGAGAATATGTATAAGAATGATCACTACAGCAATTCCCGCGCTTAGTAACATTGGTACACACATGTGGTGAATCAAGAGATCTTTCTGCAGAACAGACAGCACAGTATTCATGAGCACTTGTACATCTGGCTCGGAAGCGCCCGAATCCCTGGTATTTTGAGCATAGCATGACCCTGGGCGTACCCAAATAGCGTTTGACTGTTAGCTTCAAATGATTAACATAAATAAACCCATTATTCAGACATTTTGTGTAATCAAGATTGTCACGGAAGTTAACCTTAGCATTTCGAGTACGACTAGATGCAGGACAGACGAAAAGAACGACGTCCACAGAGGCATACTGCTCCTGAACATCAGTTATTACTTCAGCTTCTGATAGCTGACAAGAAACTCCCATAGCTAAAACACTCATCTGTGGAGGTATACGCTTAGCCTGTTCGATATTAAATTGTTGAACATTAATACTTCTTGGATATGTTTCATTCATAAGTGATCGAGAAAATGCTTCACGGTTATCAGCATAAACAAAAAAATATTTCTTTGTACTATCAATTCGCCAAAATGAAACCAAGTTACGAGTTCTAACATTTCGTCTTTTTAATTCACCAATAGACTGCCTAGCAATCTGATCAGTAAACAAGACGTTTGTATTAATAAATGAAATTTTAACCGGCGGAAATCTGAATTCACAACTGAAACGTTCTGCTTCCTTTGAAATCTTGGAAACAGCTGTCTGTAATGGTGAAGTTGTTGCATCAAAAAACTGATCATTTGGCGCTTCTCTCGGCTGTAGTCGACGACGCTGGTGATGTACAATACGAAAAGCCTCATCATCACCTTCTACGTAATCATCTAACGTAGTCTGAGATACTGTTGTAAGTGTTCACTGCTCTAATACAATTGCGTTAGCTATATTACGGTTTTGTCGAACTGCTGGTGCTTCTGGTGATGGTTGTGAACTCATTTTTATACTGTTACGTCCATCCTCATCGGTACTATCTAATAAGCCGGGAGGCGGCGAAATTTTCTTATGTTGGACGACTGTAATGATGGTATTAGTAATTAAGAAGGAATTGGAAAAGTATCGGAAAATTAATTTAAAAAAACTTGAGAAAACTAAAATTCGTTGAGCTCCGCGCGAAAAAAGGATGATGTGATTTAATATCTGTGTATTAATAACTGGTGCACTATATCTGAATTCTTGGCTAATCATTAGGTTGTTTCAGCATTACGTCTAGCCCTTTATTTAATACAACATTCTGCTTAATGTCCCAATGATGTCTGGCGAGATTTGAATGATGATTGAGTTTCGTTTATCAATTATAAATGTTCACTCAGCTGTTTAATTTCATAATCATATTCATTAGAATTCTTTCCATTTTTTACTTTATTTAATACATTACAGAGAGTGGCCGTAATTTTCATACATGTAGTGAACATTATTTGTTGCATGCTGCTATTCATAGCTGCCACCATTTGTTGTTGCGTTTGTTGATTTTGTATTATGATCAGAAATATTTCGTTCATTGAATTTAGATGCTCTTTATATTTCGATTGAATTCGTTTCTGATTTTGCTCATATTTTAATTTAACTACTTTTATTTCATTATCTAAACTTTTGATAGTTTTACTAAGATGAGAAAAAGAGATTGTTGTAGACGAGGCAGGAGACGATGAAGAAGGATTCAAGATAGACCATGCATTGAAGTCGTTTCGATCATAGTGATTGGAATTAGCCATCTGATGAAGTGGAGCTTGAAAATTATTATTATAAATACATTTTGTTCAATCGCTTTGTACACGATAATAAGATGGTGTAAAGATCTGTGCATCATGTGGAAGACGTTCTGGATGTTTTCGTAATTCATATATTAGTTACCACGAAATTCTTGAATTAAAGGACAAGGATAATCAGTGGAAACGTGATCATCCCCATACTTATGACATTTGATTGATACATTCTTTATGTTGTTTCATATTTTTACCATCACCTCCACATCGTTTACATATATCAAATGTTGAATTTTGACAAAGTTTTCTAGTATTTCCAGATTTATTACATCTTGAACAGATTAAAATTTTAGGAGATGGAAGATACTCGTCAATGTCGTACAGCTGACCATACAAATTTATTTTGCCGCTGTTTATCAATTGATTGTATTCATCCTTGTCTCACATTTCAATTCGAATATGACGATTTTTATCAATGGCTGTGCCCATCATTTTTTCAATTGTAAACAGAGAAATAAATTTTGAATTTAATTCTTCTTTAACGTCTTCGATTGTCACTGAGTGCTTGAGCCATTTCAAAATTGCTGTGTGCTGCGGCGGAAGGTGTTTTGGAGTGTTAGGTGTTAATTTGATATTCATTATTTTCTTTGGATAACGTTTATCATTGCATAAATAGACGTACAATTCCGTGAATTTAACTACAAATTGCATATTACCATTCAAATCAATCCACCATATATCAAATTGTACAGCTCTTGAATAGACGGAATTTTGTTTTAAGAAATCAGTTTTGACATATCCAATAAATTCTTGAATAAATTTTGATCCTTGTTTTGCATCTTCGACTTTTGGATTACATTCAATTTTAAATGATTGAGATTGCTTATCAGTGGCGTAATCGAATGCAAATTTTGTTATTCTATTTGGTTGCTGTTTTTGAATATTCATATTGTTGTTATTGTTCGTTATTTTCTGATGGCTTGTCTGCTGTCGTTGATCTCTATTACCGAATGAAGAATTTGTGTACATCTTCGTTGATTGACGATCATCTCCATCATTATTATTGTAGTTATTTGTTCCTTAATTTTTTTTTTGATCTAGGTGTTTGAAACTTCTCTCCATTATCATTCATCACAACTACGTCATTTTCATTATTATCATATCCATTATTATTTACATTTGTGCTTGACAATTGTCTCTTCATTTGATTACGTTGTTGTTCCGATTGAATTTGCTGAAGGATCTTATCAAAATACACTCTATTTGTTAACTGATCTTTCTGCGCTGATGTCATATTGTTAAAATAATTATAAGACATTTTAATCACGAATTTTTACTTGTACTTGTTAACCTTTACGTTTGTGTTGAAAATTTAACAGTAAGAAAGAAAATTCCTGTACATATCTAGGATAAAACGTGCGTAGAGAAAGGAAAGAATAGATAGATGTTGACAGTACTGTAGAAAAGTGAGTTCGCTCAAATAGTTTCACATTCATTCGCTGATGATTTAACATTACTTTTATTTGTGCTATCGAATAACGTCTTTCAGAAAATATAAAATATTTACAAGAACAAGCAGAACCTATTTTAAAAGCTCTCGAGAAATTTTCAGAAAACCACATGTTTCCTGTAAATATTCAAAAAACTAAAGCGTGCTAGTCCACTCTGCAGTCGCAACAGGAAAGCCACAATTTTTCTATAAAAATGTACCTATAGAATATGTGAAAAATTCCAAGTGTCTAGGAGTCCAAATCGGAGCAAAGCTAGGTTTAGATAAACATATTCAAACCCGAGTAAAAATGGTAAGAAATTCACACTGTGGTCTTCGAAAAATATTCAAAAACATTCCAAAAAATGAAATGGAATTACGCAAATGACTTTTTTGCGCGTTTTCATTGCCATATTCCATGTGGCTTTTTTTCCATTGTAGACTTGAAAAGAGCATTAAACTACTTATTTGAAAATTTATTCTCCTCGTTTGCTGTTCAACGGGCAAGTTGACCGTTTTCTTCAATTGCAACTGACCAGATTGTTGAAACAACAAGCAACAGGTACGGAAAAGAACGAGAAGGGATAAGTGGTAATTTCAACATAAATTTAATCGAAAAATGCACACAGTCGTTCGCGTTTCGGTCATTATTATCCAGTATTACGTCGCAGGTTTGCGAATATGAGACGGAGAGTAATACATCGATAATCATCTTGAATGTTCACTGAATCGGCTTACAGTTGGCGAAAATGATTTACAATTGATTTTATCAAAACCGAAAGCCGAAAAATTATTTTTTACCGATGAGCATGAACTTCGAACATAGTTTACTGGCGCAGGTAATATCTGTTTATCGTACCAACGAGGTTTTGATATTATGAAGAGTTACATCGAAGATCGCCTATTGACTGCAAACATGAACATTCAAGAAAAAATTAATTTTGGAAAAATACTACGAATAGTTGGCACCGACAAATACACACATGATACTGGTGTTGATATTATTTTAGATTCAGCCCACAGTGAACAACTCAAACAATTTATAGAACGTCATGGGTACTCAGGCAGCTTCAGCTCAATATAATATGAATGATGAGTCTATATTGTCCATAGATGAAGAGTATAACAAATTATTGGTGTCGAATCGTGCCGTTGTTGCTCGAGCAGTTCGGATGTACAACCAAAAGATGTAAATGTTGTAAACATAAGCTGAAGTGTACAATTTTATGTAAATATAAAAATTGTAAAAATCCACACGTCAGCCATCAATCTAGTTTATCAACAGAGTCGAAAATAAAGGTAAACAGTTATTTACAAAATATCCCATGAGATACTGACATTCACCATGCTGATATTTAAAACTGTGAAGGATAAACATATCTAAATATACGAATAATCAGACTAATCGATTCTTCTTCTTTTCTGGAGTACAAAGAAAGGTAGTGGTCAACATAATAGGCTCAATAACCTTATCGATTTTGACGAAGAGATTGATACTGATGTGAGAGCATTGATTTTTCGAAAACAGTGTAACATTTGTTGTTTTCATCTTAGGGAAAAGAAGAGACGAAGATAAATGATGTAAGCTCTATAACTTTTCTCTTTACGTATGTATGCATTATAGCGTTATTTTCTTCAAAAATCGAATGATGGAGAAGATGAATTCGAAAACGACTATTGGACAAAAAATGATAGTAATGTATTGTTGGTTTTTACTCAAACTACCATATTGGATAGTATCTGTTAGTTTTTTTATCTATTTTGTTTAGGTTTCAACACAGGATGACGTTTTTAGATGAAGAATGGTATGAAGAAGATAACGAAACCGAGCAAGAAAACGATGAGGATGAGGTAGTTTCATGCAGATTATTTGATTGTATTAAATAATCATAATCGTTTTCCCATTTAGAGCGATGTGTCATCCGAATCTGTTATCAGCCGAGTACGATTTCGCACCTCCGTTGTCAGATGAGTACGCTGATGATCCACTTACACAATGGCAAGTCGATGTACAGAGTGAAAGTCACAGATCAGTCGAGTATGGTTATAGTTTTGACGTCTAACAAAGCGTTTTACTCCTTCCTAGTCTTTTTTAAAGCTAATAGTGTTCAAAATATTAAAGCTATTCTTTGGGCACGCAAGGTTTATTTAGCAAGAGAAGCATAAATGAATAAAATAAAGCGTTCTCTTCCGATTCTTTACTTATCTAGAAATCCACTCTTCAAATATGCTAACCCTACGAGAAAAATAAATATTCAGCAATATTCAGCTGATTTCAAGCGTATAAAGTACCTCCGCAACACTAACTGACAGCTTTGGAAAAAGTCTGGTTTCACCACAATTACAAGAATGGCATTCGTCACTTACGAAAACATGATATCGAATTTCATCTCAAACAGCAGAAGTATTTTTTTTTGTTTCCAGCGAAAGTGGTCAGCAATTTAGCGAGAAACTACAGTCTATTGGCTCGCTCTCGGCTACTAACAAACCGGCCATTATCTGTACTTGTTACCATAGTTATGAACTCCACTCATTGTTGTTCTCCTTTTCTGGCATTTCGTCCGCATTCTTATTTCTAGCACATGCTTCTTTTTAGCACCTAGGCTTATGCTATTCATATCAGCCCTCCAAAGTTAGTTGAGTAAATTTCTGACAAAATTCATACTGGAAGAGTCTGCTTCTGACCAATAGGAGAAATTAGACTGCATCATTGATAAGCAGTAGGAAAAAATGCGTCAACATCAGTGACTATTACTTTGAAGAAATTTAATTCATCAGTTAATGGTCAGAAAAATTCAAATTATTTAGAATTTTCAAATCAAAACACTTGTTCTTTTCAGTGAAGCAGCTGAGCTGAATAGTATTATACTAAAATAGTTTTAATACACTTTGTAGAGAGATCAGTGCTCTACAAAATGAGTCATTTTACATGGAAATAAAAGACCCCTGTGATGACTGCAAAAATGCAGAATCATATCTATGATATGTTTCATTTTGTAAACACCGCTCAAACCTATGAAAGTTAGACTTTGAAATAACTGTATATGATAGAAAAAGCTCTCTATTGATTTACGAGAAAAAACATTAAGATCCACTCGTTAGTGTAACAATAGCACCAAAAAAAGTAGGACATCATTCTTTCACTTTACTTTTCATTTATTTTACAAATGAATGCCTTTCATAGCGTTCAGATAGGGCTAAAACTGCTCGAGCCACCTTACTAGATTACCCGATTCTTACGCTGTTTCGGCAGAGCAGCGTTGTATAATTATACTACATAGCATGTTTAATTTTCTTCGGAGGAGAATCATTATCTATGTGATCCATTTTAGGAAAAGTAAGACATTCATTGTTCGTTATACTGTCCACTGAAACCACTGCTTGTCTGTTTTACTATTTATAAAAATTGTAAAGAAATACAAAGCAGTGAGAGTAATGCTGTCTCGCGTTTTTGTTCGACTGGCTTATGAAGACTATTTTCGTTTTTTAGAAATGTTTAAGTTCCATACTTGAAGTATACTAAAGTCCCGAAAATTCATATGCGTTCCATTCTTTGTTCAATTCTTTTTGCTTTAGTTCTGAGGATATATATCGTGTCCTCGTTATACTGCATCCGACTAATAAGAAATGAGTCAAAAACACGTCTATGACAAGTGCACAAAACTTTACTGAAATGTTTTGCGATCACGTGGAATGCGTAATGTTCTCTATTAGACCTGTGGCAACAAATGTAAATGATATAACTTTGTTCAAAAAAGTTACATTGTACATTTACAATCTTCTTTTTATCCGCTGGGCCAGAACAGAAACATTAGGAATCTAGAAAATAAGGAGATATCATGTGTAGACATAGCCACATATTTGACGTGGATAGAGAAGAAAAAGTCTTTTTTTCTCCTCGATTCGCTTTCTTCGATAAATGGTCGTTCTGTTTCTCTTTATAAGCTTTAATAGATTAGAACACAGGCTTGAATGACTGATATCTTGATTTCAGCTATGAAAAGTCTTATCAAAAGAACTACTGAATCCTTTTCCTGATCCAATAATTAAACGCAGATGAAAGAGTATAAAACTACCAGGAGACGAACGGTTCTCACTGTACTGTTGCTATGATCGTGTGCGAGAAAAGACATCTTATTTGCTACGGCTCTAATCAGTATCCACAGCACTTTACGTCGTTTTACAACTATTTTAATCAGGTATATATTATTTTGTTTGTAGATTGAAGGAATACTAAGTACACAGCAGTTGCCCAAAGAGAGAGCTGTACTCTTTCTCGTTTTGTCACAAGGTTGAACTTCTTTCTATTTAAACAACATGGTGATCAAGAAAAGAGAGTCTCATTTAAACATTTCACTACAGTTAGGATCGTCGTTTCTGTCTCAGTCCAACAGGCTGACTGTGCCATATCTTAGAATTGAAAGACACACTCAGTCAGATTTTCAAAATGGTACACGAAACTTACGGACAAATGAAGTTCACAGGAACCTAATTTTAAGCTTTTCCTTTGCAGTGACACAGTATAACATCTCAAAAGATCTTTATCTCTTCAACGTAGTATAGCTGAATCTCCGTTTATACAAACTCTTTTAGCTTGTTTCTCACTCGGCATCGTTCTAGTCGTATAGATTCTTACACGGATCTTGCGGATTATTACATAAGAATCTTATAGTATTCTACGCATTTCCGTCGACAGCCTTATTAAGAAATTCGTAAGATTTTTGTAGGATTCTTGCAGATATTCTGTGAGATTCTCATAGAAATTCTATATAAGATTAGATTGCATTGATTAGTAGTACTCGTTCAAATTTCTTCCATCCATAAAGGTTTTTCGTTTGTTTCCGAGTATTTTTTCTTAAATATATGCAGAAAACCGAAAATGTTTTGAATAACCTTGTAAATGTATTAATACAAATACACAATTTTCGTATGTTTTAAATGTTTAAATGGTATCTTCAATACACGGAATTGAACAACTTTCTTCTTTACCTAACGAAGTTTGAGCTTTTTTCAGAAGTAATTCCTAGACTCAGGATGATCGATTATGCTATATAATAATAATATAATGTTTTATGCAATTTAAGAACCATGTTAAATCATTAGGTACCAGTAAGTGTTATACGTGTTAGACTTACCATAGTATCACAGACGAAAACTTTTAAGAGATTTGATAAGAATCTTACCATATTCTGAACTAAGATTTCGCAGGAAAAACTCACCGGAAGCACAAAATCATAAGCTAAAGTATCCAGATACTATCGTAGTACCGCAATATACTCTATCGAAAGTATCTAGATAAAGTAAAAATTTTCTAGATACATCGGGTCTGGCCCGATTACACGATACAATACTCCATGCATCGAGCTGAAGAAAAGAAGTATTGTAACTAGATACAAAAAGCAATGCATCGAGTTTTGAATTGGGAGAAAGAAAAAAAGAATAAATGAAGAAAAAATTAACAATGTTCCTTCAGAGATTCGAACTCTGTACCTAGAGATTATGAGTCTTCTCTATACACCATTGTACCACAGGAACTTACAGTAGTACATCAATATATTTCGTACTGTGTCTGCTAATGAATGAAAATAGAATGAAGTTAAAATGTTAATTCCGACTAATTAGCGTTTTCAGAGGGAGCGAAACATTTCGCAGATTTGTGCCTAGAGGCAAAAATATACGAAAATTCTTCTTCTAAAATGATTTTCCCTCTTACTTTCGGCTAAAAAGTGTATTCTCATTTTTTGCGTCTTTCTGCCTTTAATAATCCAGCTCATACTCCCTTCTATACATTATTCTTTCATCAGTTAAAATAGAAGCTCTTCATGTGCGTTAATTTATTTTGATCGAAGGTTATCGCAGTATATAGGCGAGTGAAAACGACACACACATACACACAGTCATTTAGCATCAGCTCTGTAAAAACAATGGCGTGAGCAGTGTAATGATGGAAAGAGTAGTCTGTAACGTTTGTTTTGCTTTGTTTTTTTGGCGACAGCCTTCTTTTCTTCATTCTTTCTCTTTTTTGTTCGTTTTTTACTTTTACCACTCTTTTTGCTTGAGTGTTAGTTTATTACGGCTACCACAATGTCTAGTGCTGTTAGCAGCAACCAGTGTTTCTTTATCCTGACGATGACTGCAATTGTGACTTGAATTTTACTCGTTTTTCGGGACTTCTTGAGAAACCCAAAGGGAGTAAAAAATTTGCGGACTGTGTAAGAACTCTTGAAATCATTCTTCTATGTTCTGGTCTGTTTACGCAAAAAAAAACTTGATCTATACAAAAATTGCATTTGTGAAAATCACTTCAAACGACTAATTCGATGTTATGATCCTAGCATAATGAAAAAATGTACTATTTCTGTACCTTTTTTTTAAACGACAATTAGTTGCAAAGTCGTTGAAGTCTCTGAAAAATATTACAAAAACTGAATTCGCTTTTCTTTTTAAAAGTGAGAGTATAAAAAATTCTTACGGTAATTGTTATCAGTGTAGTGAAGAATTGAAAAAACTTCAAGAAGAAACTTTTTGTCTTTGAAAGAGAAACAGGAGCCTCAGCATTAGGTGTCATCACAGGTAAAAAGATGAAAATACAAGAGTTTGTGCTGATTATCAGTTAAATTCGACTACCAAAGCTAACCAATATCCTATACAAATAATAGAAGAGATACTTAATCATTTTGAAGGGAAAAGAGGGTTTACTTCTTTAGACGCAACTAAAGGATTTCATCAAATTCCTATGTCAAGTGAAAGTCGACAAAAACGGCATTTCAAACACATTGTGGATTAAAACAATTTATAAGAATACCATTTGGTTTAAGAAACGGTTCTGCAGTATTTCAAAGATGCATGAAAAGAATATCGAAACATTTAAATTGGTGTATAAGCTGTGGCATTACAAAAATAGATGCTTTTGCCGCGCTGCATCAAACTAGATAAAAATTGCGCGCTAGGTGCAAAATTTTTCCGTGAATCCGACAGCGGGTTCTTTTTATTTCTACTTTGACTTCTTTTCTGGCGTCGACATAATCTACCTGGTTTTCGCCTAAATGTTATTTCTCTCATTAGTGCCTTTTTTTCAGTCAAAAATAATTGTAGGAAAGTCATTCATGCATTGCTTGATAGCCAATGGTCTGTTGTTATGGTCTGAAGATCAACTCTTTATCTTCCCGCCAGTTGTTTCACTCACTTCAAAAGCCTGAAGGTATAGACTAGACTAAGACTAAGACTATTTATTCACGAAGAGTGAGAGTCATCAAAGGTCACCGACCTGTAATAATAATGACTCAAGCCAAACAACACCAAAATAATAATAAAAGAAATAACAAAATAAAGAAGACAACTAAGATTGGAACCAGAAGTAGTAAAAGAAAACAAAAAATTTTTAAAAAAAAGAAACAAAAAACATGCAAAAAGAACAAGCATAAATGCTTAACTGACAAGCGTTTCACTGGAACAGATACTGAAGTAAAGCCGTTTTGAGAGACATAGAAGAAGAAAGACAAATAACCGACTCTGGAAGATTATTCCAATCAGTAATAATTGAATAAAAAAATGAAGAATGCACCATTTGTGGAGAAAAACCATCAACAGAAGGTGGAAGACGAACGTATTTAGAGTGATGAAGACGTACAGATGAGTAGTGAGGACGATGAATAGTATAAAAGAGAGAAACAGGACTTATACGATGATAAATTTTGAAAAACTGTAAAAGTCTAAAGTATTTACGACGAAGAGAGAGATTTGTACAGAAACTGAAACATTTTTGTTGTTAATAATTCGTTCTTTAACCAGACTTTTTTTTTCTTTCAACATACTTTGTCTGGGACACTAGACGGTGTTGCTGGTGCTGGTTTTTGTTTGAATATATATTTGATAAATATATTTTGTAATTATTCTTCATTGACTAGACAATTCCATAAACGTTTAGCTGGTATTGCAGACAATGACTCACTAAAATATAACAAACTTTATTTCCACTACCCAACATAAAAATAAACAACGTACGAAAATGGTGTATTATCTTGTTCTAATATCGTACGATAACGATGGATTGGTGGACCATTACTCGTTATATCAATTGTACTCAATGGTAAATAATTATCGGGTGGAGAAATAAATGCATCTAGTGTAAGACGTAATGATTCCTGCCATTGATTTAACTTCTGAAGAAATTGTTGTAACAATGGAGACAATATTGGTATTTCTAAAGATCAAATAGAGAGATAAAAATATAAAATGCTAAATTGTATATTTTACATGTAGATAATTGTAAAAATATTGTAATGAGACTATTTACCGTATTGCTCAATTCCAATACTAGGAAAAAATAACCATAATCGTTGCTGTACTAGACGAACGATGGCATAACACATCAATCGGCATGTTGTATTGCTAGCTGAAGTTTAAAAATTAAAGCGAACAATAGCAAATTACACCGTAATAAGCTAGAAAGCTACGTTTACCAGCGGATGAATTGTTGTCATCATCACTACTTTCACTATCAGTATTTCGGATGAAGATATCCAGGTCTTCTTTGATTATATCTTCTAAGTATGAAATTAGATCGTTTCGAAATTTTTCGTCTTGAATGCTTTCTTTGAGTTGTGACAGTGTTAGATTGTGGTCCAACCATATTAACATATGCAGATGTAGAGAACCACGTCCTTGAGATTCTACTGTTCCAAAATACGCCTTTATCGGTCCCAACACTCCTTTTTTTATCATCGTCCCGATCAACGTAGAAATTAAACGATGGAAAAATTTTCCCATTGCCATTGAGTGTGATACTCATATCATATAATATCATAATCATATTCATAAGCTGGTTTCAATAAACTTATATTGGGGATTTCTGACAAACTTAATTGACATGTTGTAGATGATAAACTATTACAGACACAGCAGACTGATTCCCACAAACTAGACGTTAACATTTTGTCAATCAAATCTTTTAAACATTTAAGTTTCAACTACCTCGAAATTTTCATTGGCCATTTTACTTCTTGATTTTTGATCTTCAACTTTCGTACCTGTCTTCCTATACTATCGTTGCGTAAACGGTCGACGGCATTTTTACAATAAATCTATTTAAATGCATACTAAGCGTAGCAACTTTGTAACTATTTTCAATAGATGATAAACAAGATTAATTATGGATGTGTGTACCAGGTCAAGATGGAACAGGAAAATCTCAGCTCATTCGAGCCATAACAGAATATTTTTCGTTGACGAAGCGCAGCTGCTTACTACGAAAAGTGGCGCCAACATCGATTGCTACAGCCGAAATTGATGCCCTTACCATTCAATCTTTGACTCCTCACACAAGATATTCGCGAAAATCGAAGCAAGGAGGAAAACCTGGTGACACTATAACTGAGAAAGAATGGTGCTAAATTCAATATTTACTTGTTGATGAAATGTCAATGGTAGGTTTAATATTATTAGCACGGTTCGGTAAGAAATTAACAGAAGCAAAAAGGACTGATCCGAGTCTGCCATTTGCCGGTATCAATGTCATTTTTTTTGGTGATTTGTTACAATATTCTCCGGTTGGTGACAAACCTTTATATTCTGATATCATCACAGCCAAACCCGACGAAAAGATACACCATGAAGGGGATAGAAAAGATAGACCATTACCCGATCTACTACGAACAAAACTTAACCAACAGGCCGCTGGTAGATCATTATGGATGTAAATCAATACTGTTGTTAAGTTAGAAGTTCAAATGAGAACAACGGATACACAGTATTTGGATCTGTTGAAACGCCTTCGTGAAGGAAAATGCACGGAGGGTGATTATCAGTTGCTGCTAACACGTGTTGTTCATCCAGATAATGATGTAAAATCTTTAGAGGACCCAATGTGGATGGTAGCACCGCTCCTTGTCTTCCGTAATGAACTGCGTACTCAGCTCAATAATAAAGCCGTTATTTCACTAACGTGCAAAGATGGTTACAAGCCAGTTGTTTGCGTTGCTCAAGACAAGTTTAAAACAGATATAAATAATCCTAATTTGTTCAAGTTTTTGCTTAGATTACCCGACAAAAGAACAAAATTATTGCCTGGTTATTTACCACTTCCAGCTGGTATGCCTGTTCTATTAACGGATAATTTAGCAACAGAATTGGCTCTATCCAATGGAAGTCTCTGGAGGACTTTCAAGAGAAGAATCTTCAGCTCAAATTGTTCTATTAACGGATAATTTAGCAACAGAATTGGCTCTATCCAATGGAACCAGAGGCATTTTTCGTAAACTGATCTATGAAGAGGCAGAAGTGAACCCTGATATAATGGATGAAGAAAATTTTCCAACGCATTGTAAAAAGCATTGTGCATTGTCTAATAAAAAAGCTATATGTACACCGATGTCTATGGATGAAATAATGTGGTTAACAACATAAAAATACTTTCTTTAGACATCATTTATATTGCTGGCTTGAACAAGACATAAAAATTATTCGACAGTTATGTGGCATGGGATTGAATAAAGATGATGACAACAGTGGTAACGTCGATCCTTTGTCCGAAGGTATCTACTATCAATTATTATTAAATGTGATCCGTCATTCACAATTTTTTGTTTATTTAGATTTCGATGAACGAATATTATCTGACACTGGAATGAACGATAATATCATTGAAATTGATCGCGCACAGCATCAATCTTTAACATCTTCGTCTCTCATTCGTACTGGCGATTTTGAAACAAAATTTAAACGATTAATACGTCGACGTCAATGGTTAAAATCAAATGAATATCTTCTACGAACATTAGTATCGTTTACAACATTACATGGAATGCAAGGAGGTAATACAAAAATCAAATAAATTGCTCAGCATGAATTTAAATATTGTTTTTTCTACGTTCAGGTGGTTTAGCATCTGTTCGTATGGAATTGTTACTTTTGATGCAAGAGTTATTTCGTCAAACACGTACACAATTAAAATATCCAGTTCCCTATCCAACCAATGTTCCTTTGTTAATAGCTAATCTATCATATTCATTAAGTGTAAGCAATAATTCAATTAGTTATGTACGAGATATCACCTAAACTCCCCCCCCCATAATAGAAGACCATCCCATATTAGAAGCCCACTGCCGATTATATGACCTGAAAGTCAAATAGAAGGCCATGGTCTTCTAACTCCTACGAGACCGGTGGTCTTCTACTATGTCCGCGAAAAAAATCGGAAAATGCCCAAACCTATAGGGGAATTTTCAAAAAAATTTCGCCAAAAAGTGCTTCTAATAGGGGACGGACTTCAAGTACGTGAGGTTACTGTTGGACTACTAGCAGGCGACAAAATTTGACCGCAATAGAAGACCACCCTTTAGAACTTGACTTGAGAGACAAAATAGAAGACCAGGTGGTCTTCTATTATGGGGGGGGGGGGGGGGTTGATTTTTTGGGCAC